TATTTTTTTCGTACAATGTAAATATTCATCTAATACAGGGGTCGGCAACTTAAAGCTCACGAGCCACATGCAGCTCTTTGAATGTGAAGCTGCAGTTTTTTAGTTAAAACTGTTTAGTATAAATAAATTTTTTTTTTTTTAATCAAAAAACTAACTTTATTTATGCGAGTACTATTTATTGTTGGTAAAAAAAACAATTTTCTGGCTCTTGAAAAACTTTGAAATTTTGTCTTTGGGGTCTTCCGACTCCAAAAGGTTGCCGACTCCCTGACTTAGATCACTTTTCCATTTTTATAATTATGGACACATATATTGATATTCATCTTCAGCTTTTTTTGGCAAATGTTTCTAATAATTATAATTATGTATGTATGTTAAACAATTTGTTTAATTGATTTGCCAAAAAAAGTGAGAGGGTGGGGGTTGCAGAGTTTGTCGCAAAGCTACTTTTACGAGCGTTTCGATAAATCCATCAGTTGAAGAAAATTATTCTCACTCACACTTAATCGATACAAATTACTTTTTTTTTTTTGTTATGAACAATATTATTACGAACAAGCAATTTTTATTATTTTTTATTTTTCCAACGTACAATTAAATTATTCTTTTTTATCTTAAATTAATTGCTAATTGTTAATCAGAATAAAATAAAACAAAACAAACGAGACGATACGAATTATAACAAATAAATTTAAAAATACAATTATGTTCGAATGCAATTTCGAATTTAATAACAATTCTGTTCTTTTATTATTATTAATAATAATAATATTATTATTATTATTAAATAAACGAAATGCTCGTAATTAAGAAAATAATATTAGTATCGTTTCTCTCTCTCTCTCTCTCTCTCTCTCTCTCTCTCTCTTTCTTTCTATCTTTTTCTATTTTATTTTTCTTATATGTTTTATAATAATTTTAAAACTTGCCAATCCGAAATGTCTACACAGTTTTATAAACAAATAAAAGTTTACGCGTATACACGTATACATGAAACACACATACTCAGATACTCAGAGACACATAACACATAGACACATAGACACATAGACACAGACACAGGAGAAAACGCAGAAGGGCCAAATTAGCAAACACAAATCATCCAATAGGAAAAATATTTAAAACAACGGAATTTTGAAACTATCGTACGTAAAAGCTTTTGCCATCTTTTTTCTATCTCAAATCTTTTGTTTTTTATTTTATTTTATTTTATTTATTCATTTATTTTCTTCTTCTTCTTCTTCTTCTTCTCTCTCTCTCTCTCTCTCTCACTCCTTCTCTCTCTTTTTCTATATATATAAATATATATCTATCTTTTATTGTTTTTAGTTCGTAACCTTTGTATTTCACTAATTTTCTTGTCTATTTTTTTCTTTCTTTCTTTCTTTTTTTTTTACTTTGATCGCTTTTATTGCAAGCTGTACAGGAAATAGAAAAAAAAAAACAAAAAAAAACAAAAAACAAAAATGAACAGAAAAAAAATCTGTAATAAAAATCTCTAATATCTTATCTCGTTTGAAAATAATACTTACGCGATTTTTTATATTCACATTCTGATAATAAAAACCAATCCCCCTTTTGTCCTAACCCTTTGATCTACTTTTCACACGTTTCTCTAATTATGCTGATATATATATTAGTAGGTGGTTTGAAAAGTCATTTCATTTTTCTTATGTAAAAAATGAAGATAATAATTTTTACTTCGAGATTAAACCTAAACCTTTCTAGTAGTCATAAATAAATTTAACTTCTCATGTGGAATCTCATGTGTTACTATTTGTCAATTTGCAACAACTAATGTAGAAAATTGTGTCAGGAAAAAACGAAATTATTTTCTGAACCACCTAATACATTTATTAATATTATTTAAATATAT